CTACCATAACGATCATGATCGCTTTGCACATGACCTGGTTGAAAAATTCGAAGGCACTTTTATCAGACACCATAAAGAAATCGCACAGGAATACGTATTCACGACATGCGTTATCCAGCAAGGCGTAGGCAGCACTTCGGAACAGCACTTCGAAGTGAAACTAGAAGGCATCGTTAGTACAAAAATTAGCCGGCAACCAATGTTTAACAAATTTCTGATGGTGACGATCATGCAGTTTTTGAAAAGCTGCTATAAAAACGGAATACGTGGACAACGTTGATTATCAAGTATCGCTTTGATTTGCTCGCTTCGTTATTTGACTACTCCAGTGCGGTTTTGGCGGAAAAGTTGCACTGTCTTAAGAAATTAATTGCTGATCTGATCAGGAAGAAACATCTCTTCTGCAAAAGACTCATCTATACAACCAGGGGTTGTTAACAGTACACAAGAGATACAGTCATAGTATACTTCTCGTATGTCTACTTTCAGAGTTAAATAAATACCACAGAAGAATAGCGTTAGAATATTAATGACTTTAAAGAGGCATTGTGGATGGTTTACCTATTAGAACTATGTTTCTCTCGATGAATCATAACTGTAGAACATATATCAGTCGGTCTTGTTTTATTTATCTTATACATAAGTCGTTCTGTAATACCAAGTGCTAGCATAAATCCTATATAAAAAAGCACAAAATTAAAAGATACCCTAAAAATAATACTCCAGGTTTTGATTAATAAATACTATTATAATCTAAAAGATACCCTCTTCGAGTTTTGCATAGCCGTGTGAGGAACTATGATAGGGGCCTCGATGTCACCTTCGATGACTGAAGCACGCGTACCCAACGTAAACACGGTGGCGCTGCGAGGGTTCTGACGCGTTGAGAAAATGCTCGTCGAGCGACTACTGTCATCGGCACCGAGAAGGTCGTCTTTCGTCGCAACGTCATCCAGCTGAAACAACTGCATTAACAAGGCAACGACCTAGGTTCTACCAGACAAGACAAATGAACTGTCCTCAATTTTGCCTAAAAAGCATTCATTTATATCTTTGTTTAATGGTTAAACTGAGAAAAAATAGGCAACCCAGACGTCACGGCTAGCCATCATGAAGCAGCGCTCCGCTCAAAGCGCAGTGTCATAAAACTGTGGAACCCTGTTTCAAAAAGTTACGTGTCTGCTGGTTTGTTTGCCGATGTCTACATGACTTCGCAAAAGAAAACAAGCAAAAGATTCCGTAAACCTGCGTTCGATTAGAATACAAGAAAAATATATTAATATAAATAGCTCTAGTGACATTGAATAAAACAGCGCCGTCATTCTGTTCGCACATACAGCTGATTGTAGTGTTTAAAGTATAAAAACAACCTAATTTAGAGATGATAACTAGAAATGAGCCTGGCACTGCTCTAAACAAAAAATAATGCGATATGCGGCAATGCGACTACCCGGAAGTAGTGGTCTACTGAAAGGCCTCACAGGCTCCCAAGGGCAAGGAATGTCAATATAACAGTAGATATTGCAGGAACTATTTGTACTGACGGGAATATTCACTTCACAGGCAAACTTTTGCCTTAAAGCAGAGGCCGGGCCCATATTAACGCTTTAGTGAACCAATTTGAGGTTCTTAGCAATCCTCTATATCCACCGTGGGTATCGATGAAAACAGTTCGTATTTCATCTGCAGAGGTGCATGCCACGGAATTCATTCATGGAGATTTGTCCAATTAATAAAGCGGAGCATTGCATAACTCTTCAGAAACTGCTGCATTGCAACAACCTGAAAGTACGGAAAATAAGCAGGAAAGCAAGATCTGGATTGGTGTCTCTCTTACACTTCCGCGTTAGGTAACATAGGTGGTGCCCTTCTATTCATAAGGCTTATAGTGGAGCGCTGATACCTGTTTCAGTGGCATCAGTCAGAAGTATCTTATTTAATGACAATGTCTACAGTAATGTGGCAAGTATAGCGAGTAGTTTCTCCATTTTCACAAAAGTAGAAAGTAGTACTCATCGATCTACTTCAGCAAGAAGAAAGGCGAGTGACCGGGTCAGGGTTCGAACTCAGGACCTCTTTTGTTTCACGGACGGAGCACCTCTGATGGAAAGAGTTGGAAAGACAAACAAGCAGGCGCACAAATCTTCACTGAAAAGCCTGTGAACAGCACTTGTAATACTGTTATCACAGACTGCTAAAACTTCATGTCAGTGGGACAAGCTGTCCTCGAAGAAACGTGCAGGAAAGAAACTTTTCTATCTCAGATATAAGATTGTTGAAACAACTCACCTGCAGTTTCATCAACTGACCAATGTACGTTCTAAAGTAGGTGAACAGAACTTTGCTCATTGTATCAGCGTACTCTCCACGAATTTCGTCGGCAATACGACGATCATTTGAGACCAGAAATTCAAAATAGAACCTAAAAGAAAACTCGCATAAGTTTCGAAAGGTATCTTACGCAAATTGAAACACAATAACATGGTTATAGCCAAGAACATAGTCACAGGGGAGAGATTTTTTTCATATAAACGAGTTCAATGAGTTTCTAAGGAGAACGATTTCAATTATCCAGTTCTGCCAGTAAATTTGCAAACCCATTAATGGGATCGGTCATACAATATGCTCATATAATTCTACCCATTTATCAGTCTGTTTATTTTTCTCTTTGTTCATTTGCCTATATATCTATTTTCTATCCACCTACATGTATAGCAACCGGTGCAATTCTAAGATAAGCATCCGATGAAAATGAATTACAAGACCTGTGAAACGCAAACAGTGTTTAAATTGAGAATGAACTTGGGCCAACAAAGGAATATCTCTTTTCGCAAAAATTTTTTTAGACTGTACTCCAGCCAGGTAAGCCTTGCAACGCTGCGTAGATATTGTCTATCGAAAGGTCAAGCATGGAAGCTGATGAGCAGAGAACTAGAACGCTTACGTCGGTGCATAATGACTGTTAAGTAGAAGGCAGACCTATGCAAAGAAACCACTATTCTTTCCTAATAAAAGACAGCCGCAGTAAAACTGGAGATTACAAAATGAAGTAAGTCCTGTTTGACAAAGTAGCACAGGTAAGATTCTTAGGGCATAACCAAAAGACGGCAAACGCCAGCCACGCTGCTGTGGTCATCTTACCAAAGTTTTAAACCTGGCTTGAACAGCGCTCTTTTACAGATTTGAAATAATTAGTCTGTTAGAAATGATGCTGCAGATTTCTATTAGCGCATTCGCTGATACAAAAAGACATGTTCCTCGTTGCAAGCAGATATGCATCAACCAGATGTTTATACATTCTATACATTTTGCACATCAGTGACCAGTGAACGGTTCTCTTAAAAAAACAGCTTTGTATAAATTTACATTCTCTTTACGGAACATTTTTTTCCACACCAAGTGAGGAATCTGCCTGTGTTATTCTGAGGTTTCTCGAATTCGTGCTTTAGAAAAATTCAGACACCGTAACTTGACGTTGTCGTGGTAGATTCCATATACTGATAACATTTCAAGTTGCAAATGATTCCAGCCGTGCTCAAGTACGGTTAACTTTAAGATGGTGATTATCGCGTTTGTTACTGGTGCCGGAATTTTCCATCCTTCAAGCAGCTTCCCCAAATTCGTTAATGCCAGCTCAAAGTTTCGATATACTTCTAGAGCACACAGTATAACTGGTCTTCAGCTAGAACCGATCGAAGCCACTTGAAACAGTCTACTTCATACTGTCCTATCGCTCTACTATTCAGTAATATTTTTGTCTGCTGTCCACAACAGACGCTTTGACAACTTTGTATTATTCGCGTTCACTTGCCGCATCACACTCAATTGTCATATGCACCTTCAGTGAGTTTAAGTAAGCCATTTGTTACGTCATTCAACAGGTCGTGCGTCGTGATGTAGTGCGCATACAAAAGGTCCGTTTAAAATACTACTGAACACCTTAAGCTGCATTGTTACCTATCATAAACCACTCACTACATTTTGACGACTGTTCCATTTCACAAAATACATCAGGATAGTAAATATCGTAGAGAGTCTCGCCTATAACTATGATGTTGAACCAGTTTAAAAGCGATCCCTTGATTCAGACAGCACATTCTATTCCTACATACAGACCATCTACAAACCTCACCGTCGTCTGCTGCATTCTGTGATAACGAATCATATCATAAGACCCTGTCTGACAATAAACTGAAACGATGGATGTCTGATATCGCATTCTAGGAGATCTGCAAACTCATAACTGTTCGATGATACGTTTCAGCCCGTGCAAGAATGACCAGCCAGATGACCAACATGTCAGCGTACAAAACATGAATATGACAGATTCGTGTGTCCTAGATAAGTAACTTTACCTTCTCAAACATTCTTCGCAGAGCAAACTGCTGGAACGCTAAGCATGCAGCTACGATAACGAGTTAGAAACGTTTTGCAGCAACATACGGCCAAAAACGATGGACAACAATAAACAACATAAACAAGTTTAAAAATCAGCTTCGTATTCTTCCAGCGGCACGGTGACGCGAATCGGTAAACAGTAACTAAGCGTTGTCAAAATATGGTGTCACGGGATTCCCGCGGTTTCAGAACAATAAAAACAGCTGACAAATACCATTATGAGGAGGCGCTTACTCGAACGGCATCTGAACAGTTTAAACAAACTGTGTTGTCCCCAGAAACTCTGAAGGCCCATTTAGATGAGCGCATGTTTAAATACAGTTTAGCACCTGTCAAGTAACATTTGCTTGCAGACCTCAACTCTGTAAGAAATTAGCATGACGTGATACGTATCTCACCTGTATTTGAGCATGGAACTGTCGAGAATCTGATAATTAGCCATCGGCTTGCGTAGCAAATAGATCTTCTTCAACAAAAATTCACGTATCTTTTCAACAACCTAAAATGCTAGCGCAAATAAAGAAAACCGAATTACCAATTACACTAACTTTGATCTTTAAAAATTCCAAAATGTTTCCGGCCTCGACGCAACAAATGGCATCATTGGCATCCTGCTGTTGCAAATAGTCAAGTTTATGCTTCAGTTCGTGAAGCTGTTCCATGAAGCATCGCTCTGTTACGGGCTCTTCGATCAGGATCCTACAAAATTACGGTATTTTGCCCTCATGTACTCCTGTCGCGACAATACAGGTCAATATTAAGTAGTCACGAAAGTGATGCTCTATCTAGCCCTTATGGATTTACTCGGTTAAGACCCAGCGTCCGTAACTGGCAAACACTTGCGTTCCTTTGTAAGACTACGCTGCAACTAAGCGGAGCAGCGGGTGAGAAATTTGAAACAGTGCATAGCAAACACTGACGGCCAATCGCACATGTTCCTTAAAATCGATCTTCTCGTTGCCGTCGCGTGAATTATCAAAGAAAAAATGCCTGACGGGGCCAACATTGTTGGGTTTATCCCGCTTCATTCGCTACGATAGCTGTGAAGATCTGTCAAAGAACCTGAAACCAGCTGACGAAACTCTT